ATGAGCGATATATAGAATGTATGTATGTATATACATACATACATAAATTATTACGATCATTTCTATTGTACAATACATTCGCCACTGTGATTACATGATTGTTACAGTAACGTAAAAAAAAAGCTGTAAGAATCACAAGGTTTTTTTTTCTTGGTGTTGAAAAAAAAACGCATGACGCAACACAATGAGCTGTGTACCTATACTCATCTATCTCAATAGAAAAGCATATGTTTTAATGTCAGCTGAACGCATATAAATGATCATACTATGTTAGGTAGTTTATTGTTGATAGATTTTTTTCAAAAAACAGATGATGATAATTTCACATTATCCAGGTAGCTCTATCTCTCTCTCTTTAGCTGAAAAACTCAACTAGTCCGAATATTATGATGTGACAGGTGAGATAGGCTTTGATGAATGGTATCTTATGCTACTACGCATAAATTGTACTCTACTCTATGCCAGCAAATTATGCTGATAAGTTTGAAAGCTGACTAAAACAATCTACACATTTAAATCAATCAATCAATCAATCAATAGCAACGTAGAATTTCGTACGTACGTACGTACGTAGGTACATCAGTTCAATTTGCCATACCGCATTAGTACAGAAACGCAGTTGTCATTCGAATCCCATAGTAGTAGAGGTAGTAAAGGTATGAGCAGTAATCAGAAAGATTAAGCTTTGAAGACATGATTCAAGTAGTAGAATCTAGTGAAATAAGCTTAAAAATAAAAACGATACAGTGTGATAAGGAATTCCGAATGTTAAGATTTGAACCTACACATTACGTAATGAACTAAGGGTTAAAGTAAATTGAATGGAATGAGACAAGAAATTCTAGTGCAATTTTACATATTCAATGTCAATCCAGTTAGAATAGTTATTTTTTGTGTGTGCTCAGTGTTAAAGTACCGACTCTTTGATGTGATTGAATGATTTTAGATAATAAATCATGAAAGATAAAATATGTAAGACTATGTGTTAATCATAGGAAGTTGCCGACATTTTTAAAGAAAAATCAATTTTAATGAGGTTTTATAGTAAAAAAAATTTGTAGAATTCATTATTATGAGATGGTAGAGAAATTTTTATAGCTCAGTTTGTGCTGATAATGTTGTAGTTAGCAGAAGAACAATGAAAGCTCTGCAACTCAAAAAAACACTCAACTCAGATAGCGAAACCCTACCACAACAGTTCATCAAGTGTTCGGAACAAACACATGTATATAGACAGACAGATAGAATGCAGAACTTTGTACATAAGTATATCAGTTCAGGTTGCCATACCACATCAACACAGAGACGCAACTGTCAGTTCAAATCCCATAGTGGTAGCGATAGTAGAAGTACTAGTAGTAATGGAGAAGATTAGGGAGCAAAGATATGATTCGAGAAGTATAATTCAGTAAGATAAATTTAGAAGGAGAAAGGTGGAGATTATGAAGAATTCAGAAGGTTAGAATTAGAGAGAACACAAAGAATGGATGCAACTGCGCGATTGCAAACGACTTTGATCCATGTCATTCAAGGTCTCCAACAATGGTGACATTCTTCTCGCGGACACCAACATATGTGTATGGTGATTAGGAATAGCAAAATATGAACCATTCAAAGAGAACCTCTCTTCATGAAGGTGCGATTGAGCAGAGATACAACTAGTATATTATTCATACGATAAATTAACTAGAGCTATGAAAATGATTAATAACCCAAGTAATTTTTGTTCATTTCTCCCTCGTTTCCTTATGGGAGTTGCAAAAACTGGATCAGAAATGACTTGCGTTTGCCAGATCGACATGATTTTTCATCATAGAGTTTTGGAGATTGTCGTTTTCCATTGAAATCACGAATCTATCATTGTTAGACCATCATCAGAAACATGGAAGAAGCACTGGAGGACGTCCGTTTCATCCTGTTACGGGACTCATTAGCAGTGCGCATCCAGGACTACTGCAACTCGCAAGATTTGATAAAGTTATACTGGCTTTACGACCAAACACTAAAACGAACTTGATAACAATTATCTCATTTTGTGGTTTAGAAACAGTCAGGATGAAACTATACATTTCTCTGTTCCACAATGTTCGTTGCTAGATAGAACTAAAGCATTCGCAGCAGTTCATCTTATCACACATGAAGTCTCCTATATAAAAGTTGGATTTCTTTCGCTACATACAACCGAAGCCATATGGATTTGTAGTGTCTCCACATATATTCTAGTGGGCTTAAATTTAATTTTGTTAAGCCCTTTCGATAAATTTATTTAACCAAACCATTTGTATTGCAACAATTTACATGTACCATTCGTTCTTATTATTGTCTGGTTTGTATGAGCTCGCATGACGTATCCCACTTGTCATTTGACTTTGTCAATCATTCGTCGCTTTTATTCATGTGTACCTATTTCGCTTGTTACATGTCTGTCTTATTTTGTCTGACTACAAATTCTTAGTCATGCTCTATCTCTTGGAATTGGCTCAACAGCCTTCACCAATTCACGTCGCTTCCTTCGCTTTATTCGCTGATTCTCCGCTTCGCTTTGTGGTGTGTCCCACATAAACGTGTTCATCACTACGAGTTAACCTTCTGATTTACAACTGTCAGATGCCATTTATTAACGATTGTCTGGACGAGTTAACTTCGAAGATTAAGAACACGCAGTAAATCGACACACTACAGATTCAAGCTAACAACTCCACTCTCTCTATAGTCAACATGAATTTGTAGTACACTTGTTACTTTCAAACAGACAATTTTACGATATTCTTATACCTTTTATTTGTATACTTTTCAACCGTCTTTTTCATTTCTTTTATTTAAAATTTCATTTGATTATTTGGACATTACATAATTTTTTTAATGTAATGATTACGTTCGTAAAATTCTTTTTTTTTTCACGTTCTGACCTATTGCACACGTCGAAATAGTTATTTAAGTCGTTCATTAGTCTCATGCATATGTCATCATCTTATCATCAATTCATACTCTATAATTTTACAATTAGTTACGTAATCATAGTATTATTGCTGACTCACAAATATATGTATACATAAAAACCATTTACGTCAAAGTTAAGCCTGATGAAAATCTTCAGTTGAAATAAATGTTAATAAATATATGGTTTCAAAATTGTGTAACTTAACAATCTTCACAACCCCGTAATGCAAATTAACTGTGCTCACTAGTGACTAGCTTCGTGAGGAATCTTCTCCGAGTTCTAGTGGGAAGACGTGACCAGTGAAGTTCAACCTGTTCGGGTGTAGATAGTAACTAACGAAGACTGTGTATGAGGTTGCGCAACTCCGTGAATTTGATCAAGTTAGACATTAACACCGTAGGATACCGACTCAGTGGTCTAGCGGTTAGAGCGTTCGCGCACAATGTCGAAGGTCCCGGGTTCGAACCCTGCGGGGTGCAGGAGTCGTGGATGTGCACTACCACTGATGAGTCCCATACCAGGACGAGACGGCCGTCTAGTGCTTCCAGTTATTCTAATGATGGTCTAACATTGATCGATTCATGGTTTCAAAATTGTGTAACTTAACAATCTTCACAACCCCGTAATGCTAATAAATATATCACACTAAAACCATTAAATTAAATACAGTCTACCATCTTAATCTCTGATTACTCTGTCACATATAAACAGTATCAGTGCGAGAAATTCTCACTAGAACTATCACAAAACTATATTGCAAACTTGAACAATAGTGAAAATAGAGTTAAAAGGATTTTTTTTCTAACTGGCGTTTTATTAAGTATGATCAAATTAATTAATTTTAAGTTTGATTATTCGTAACCACTTGAAATCAAGTGGTATACAAGTGATCAATCAACGATTAATGTCATCTGTACCAAGTGCTTCTTAATACTAATCGAATGCCATCGATTAGGTTGCACTGTGTCCACTTATCTTGGTGACCCAATATCGTGTGCACTATATGTTGAGATACAAGATGGAGTGGCTAGTGGGTAATCGACAGAGAAAAAAAACTCCGCTTGATCTAGGTTCTATTTGGCGTTCATCAGTAAGACTAACGCTTCGCGAACACTAATATTCAAATACAAGTAACCTATAACTCTTGCCTTTGAAAAACATTATTATAAAACCTTCAGATCTATGCAGTCCGAATACTGTTATTAGGTCAACGAATTTCTTCTTATTAATAAGTGTCATTAGGTACTTTAAGTTCTGAAGCTTTTCAAAAATTGACCATTTGCTCAACAGATTTAACCCCAGATATGAAATCATACTGATCTTATCATGTTTACTTATCATCTCATAAGTTCTGGTCAAGGAATGGAGGGAGGTTCATGTCAGTTGAAAATATGAGCTAATTTCTTGAACATAATAAGTTTTAAAAAATACATTCTTTAGAAGTTATAAAATGATTCAGTACAGAAAATACACCAAATGTTCCGTTTGTTTTAATAAACTCTAGGAAATATTTACATAAAGTACCCTATTATCAGTCGAAAAAATTATACAAAAATATAATTCATGATTAGCTGACTACCACTCACTTACAACGCATAACTTTGTACATACCTACATACATCAGTACAGATCGCCATACCACATTCGTACAGAGACACCAGTGTAAATTCAAATCCCATAGTAGTAGAGGTAGTAGAAGTATTAGAAGTAATCAAAAAGGTTAGTGATCCAACACATCACTTGGGATGTATACCCCAGTGGAATTAATTAAAACGAAAGAGGAATAAACGGTCATGAGTATTGAATAAATGACGCAAGTTGGCAAAAGCCAATCAAGCCTTCTGTGTCCGTGCTGCGAATTCGTCAGACATCACCACTGATGAGACTCCCAGATGACACACTCAACTGCTTCACTCTCTACTATCACTAGTTGAGGTGTTGATGCAACTCTAATCCTCCAACAAAATTAGTTATCTATAAATCGTAAGAAACCAACAACAACAATATAAATAATAAATTTTTCTTTTACTGAAAAAATAAACGAAACTTGAACAAAAACTTACAGTAATGTTCTTTGACATGTTGCACAACGAAAGCATGCCTTATGATAAACTCGTTCACCGGTAGATATACGATCAACAGGATAAATACGTTTACCACAATCAAAGCATAAATCCATATATTGCTAATAGGAGAGGGATGTAACAATTTTTGAAGATAATGAAGAAAAAAAGAGAAGAATATGCAGAAATCGATTCAATATTACATATATATGCACAGTATTAACAGTATGAATAAATTAATGAAAAATTTTTAAAAATTTGGAACATCTATACAGAGTCCACAATGGGGCGTTGATCAGAAATCACTACCACAGAGAGAAGAGTGTCCGATATCGGAATGCAAGGTTTTATCCAGTGTATTTAGAAGACCACAAGAGATGTTGTGACGGCGTCAAAATCACCATGTATGATGTTGCTAACCCGTTCTGTTTTCTTTCTATTTCAGGACGATCAAACATAAACGCTTTGGAAGCTGAAGAACAAACCCTGAGTGCTCTGAACTTACAGGACGACTCCTAAGACTTTGGTAAACTACCTACCCTTTTCTGTACAAACTCTGCGTATTTTAACTTTCAAATAAAAGAGTGACGTGGCTACCACTTGGTGTTCTCTCTTGGTGTGAGTTGTTAAACTAACCTTGTGTGTTGTGATTTTAGATTCTATTCGCCCTTCAGCGACTGTTGGTTACACGTGTTACAATTGGTGATGGAGGTGACTACTGGAGAATTCAAAGGAATTCAGAAGATTAGGATTTCAGAGAACACAACGAGTGGATGCACCTGAGCCATTGCAAGACATTTTGAGCCATATAATTCAAAGCCCCTAATCATCGATTACTATTGTCATGTGGACACCAACCAGGTAGTTTACATCTACCGACATGGATCAATTCATTTGTCATTGACTTCATGAGTTTGTGCCATGTTTTGGCACAAATTGTCTTCTCGATATATATATATATATATATATATATATATATATATATATATATATATATATATATATATATATATATATATATATATATATATATATACAATATATTTATACGTATATCCCATCTAGACTTCAATTATTCGTACTTCAACAATAGGAATGTATGAGTTTAATAAATGCTTCCCAAAGTAACTAACACTTTTAGTTGAGCGTTCTCCATGAAACATTAAACTTATACATTTGATACCTAGTTTAGCTGTTTGTCATAACTGCAAAGCAGTCGTCCAATGCCTGAACAAATCAAACATTTAATGCTATTTAATTTTCAATAGTACATCCAATGATTATTATTATTATTATGAACGAATCATCGAGTGATTTAAGCTAACACAAAGAATATGTGTATAAGTCCCAATATACATGATTAAACATACGTATTCATACAAATGAGACAATAATGATGATGAAAATATGATAATATATATATATATATATATATATATATATATATATATATATATATAAACAAATTCTCATTGACCAAAATGACATTGCTCGTTAAATAAATTAATGAAAGCATTAAATTAAATCAAGTGAAAGTGAATCGTTATTAGATTGTTTTAATTTTCTGTTTAGTAAATGTAAGTTGTGTTAACCTTGTCTTATTTATTACAAGTAATGTTACCTGTGCTTTCAGATATTTCGTGACAGAATTATAAAGATGGTTATTTATTATTGAAATCATGAACCAATCACTATCAGAGCACTATTGGAAACCTGGAAGCATTCAAAAAAACAGCCCTTTTCGTCCTGGTATGAGAATCATCAGCAGTGTGCATGCATAACTTCTGTTACCCGCCTGATTCAAATCCACGGCCTTCAGGTCTACTGTGCAAGCGCCTGACCTCTGGACTACTACTACTGGGTCGGCACCCAACTCAGGTCAATCTAGGGATTTTGATGAATAAGTTACCAGTAAACTAATTATCTAATTCAAAACAGATCAGTCAATTGATTTATTGTCTTTTGTTAATAATTCTTACAATCAGCATTCAAAGATAGTATGATCCCGAAATAAATGTATTCCAAATAAAAGTTTATCAAAAAAAAAAATATGACGATAAGCAAATGTAAATGTGATGTTAGCTTTAGAAAAAATAATCGTGAACAATTACAAATGTCAGTTATAAGTTAAAAAAAGAAATTTAGAAAGTTAAATAACCATACAATTTTTTTAAATATGTAAATATAAACACAATGAAAGCAGTTTACAAATGAAATGTAAATTTCAATTATAGAGTTATAGAGATTGTTGAGTTGTGTAGTAATTACGAATCGTTTATTGTTAGAACACCACCAGTAGATACCTGGAACCACCAGACGGCCATTTTATCCTAGTACGGGACCTATCAGCAGTGTGCATCCATGACCTCTGCGCGCTGACGCCTAACCTTTAGACCAGTGAGCTGCCTTTCAGCGGTGAGAATTAATGATCAGTGGAAGTTAACCAAGTCGCGTGAAGGTAGTCACATACCGTACACAATGGGAGAGTTTGAGAAAAAAACTTAAATTGATCAAGGTATGACATGAACACCTTTGGATGCTAGCTCAATAGTCTATCTATAGATCAAGCACTCGTGCTTCAGGCCGAAGGTCCTGAGTTCAATTCCTGTGGACAGGGGTCATGGGTCCGCATTGCTGATAAATCCTATTCTCGGAGGTAACTACCGTCTAATGCTTCCAAGTTTCTAGTGGAAGTCTATTAATGATCCATTCAATAAAAGCAAATTATGTAGTTTTCAGTTTAACCAATAAAATCAAAAAAAGAATTTATTTCTAATGATATTTGAAGTTTTCATTATCATTCTGAACAATAATCACTTATTACAGACAGACAGATACAACGCAGAACTTTGTACATAAGTACATCAGTTCAGGTTGCCATACCACATCAGCACAGAGACAGTTATGTCAGTTCAATCCAAGAGTGATAGCGATAGTAGAATTATTAGCAGCGATGGAGAAGATTAGGGAGCGAAGAATTGATTCGAGAAGTATAATCCAGTGAGATAAATTTAGAAGGGGAAAGATAGAGATAGAGATTATGAAGAATTCAGAAGGTTAGAATTAAAAAGCATACAAAGATTGGATGCACCGTGCGCCAATGCAAACGATTCTGAGCCATGTCGTTCAAGGTCTCTAAGTATCGATTATTATCTTCTCGCGGACCAGCCTACATCTACCAACATGACTTAGTACACTTGTTAGTGACTTCATGGATTTCTGCCATGTTTTGGTTTGGCCGCCCCTAGATTTCTCCCAACCTACTCCTACACTGCAAAACACAGCTCGTCGAGGCAGTCGGCGGTTAGGCATACGTAACACATGTTCCAACTACCTCAACTTATGAAGTTTCACTACTTCATCTATTGATTTGCCGTCTCTACCTAGAACTCGTTTCCTAACATTGTCTTTTCAATTATTCAACCATTATCAAAACAACTATTACAAAAAGTGTCCATTCAACAAAATCTAGACGTTCCAGTCACAGAATAAACAAACTATTTGATCATATTGATAACGTAAACACTACAAGCTGTAACACAATTTACACTGTATTCATATGACTGTTGACTAGTTTTGCAAAATACTAAAATTTTGACTAAAGCACTTTTTTTTTTTAATTTCAAACGTACAATTTCTAGAGAAAAAAAATCATTCTCAAGCAAGCAACATTGAATGTAGACAATTCAGTGTTTTGATTGTAATTTTCTGAGTGTAAACTGTCTGTCTCTACATGCTTTTAAGGTGTTTGTTTATTTGTGGTGTAGACAAACACAAACACACACGCACACACATGTGAAATTTTGTACACTTTTCTTTGTTTTTTTTTTCAACACGTACAAATAAATAATTATTGAATTTTTTTGCTTTTTATGCTTAGATAAGAAGTAATCAATGCATTTTGTAATTATTTCGTTCATATTTCAATGTATTTTTATTATTAGGGAGTGAAGTAGTCGAACGTGTAGACCGCTTCACTTATCTTGGGAGTCTCATCAGTGCCGATAGCCTGGTGACTGACGAAATCTCAGCTCGGATACAGAAGGCTCGATTGGCTTTTACCAACCTGCGTCACGTATGGCGTAGGCGAGATATCCGTTTGTTGACTAAAGGACGAGTGTACTGTGCAGTGGCTCGCTCCGTCTTACTTTATGGCTGTGAAACATGGCCAGTGAGAGTAGAAGATATTCGTAGGTTACTGGTTTTCAATCATAGGGGTCTTCGAAGCATTGCTCGTATATCGTGGGACACCCGAGTGAGCAACGCTGTTATTAGGAATCGGGTGCTAGGTAAGAATGGCAGATCAATAGATGAAGTGGTGAAACTTCATCAGTTGAGGTGGTTGAGATATGTGTTGCGTATGCCTAACCACCGACTGACTCGACGAGCTTTGTTCTGTAGTGTAGGAGTAGGTTGGAAGAAAGTTAGGGGCTGCCAAACCAAAACATGGCACAAATCCATGAAGTCATTGACGAGTGGACTTAGCCATGTCGGTAATTATCGACTCACTGGCTGGGGTCCGCGAGATGACAATAATCGATTGTTAGAGACCTTGAATGACATGGCTCAAAACCGTTTACAATGGCGCCGGTGCATTTATTCTTTCTGTTCTCTCAAATCCTAATCTGCTGGATTCTTCAAAACCTCTAGTTTTGTTTTTCTTACTTTTTCTCGTTATATCATACTTCTTGAATAATATCTTCTAATCCTAACCTCTCCGATTACTTCTAATACCTTGACTACCTCTTCTACTATTGGATTTGAATTGACAATTACATCTCTGTGCTGATGCGGTATGGCGACATGAACTGATGTACTTGTGTACGAAGTTCTACGTTGCATCTGACTGACTGTATTTATTGGTCACACGTGCATTGATCGACATCAGTTGTTTATTTTTTTAGGTGTTTGTTGATTTCATATAAGTACGGCACATTGTACCACTTACTGTTGAATGGTACTGCTTAAAAGTTTACTATTTTAGCTGTTGATAGTTTCATTGAATTTAATCTCATATCTTATATGGCTATTACTAGTCTAGTGTATGGTTGACAACTTTAGTTTGAAACTTTGAAAACAATCAAATATCAATCAATCTGTCAATCAATCAGTAGCAACGTAA